TCTAGTTTCCATGTTGTTTTGTTTTCTTGTCAAACTTCTGTTTTATGAGTTATTCTGTCCTCCTCTTGAAAGTTGTTTTATCCTCTTACTGTACTAAACCTTTGTTGGGAACGGTGACATATAAATCAAATGAATAGGAAAATAAATAACTGGACAAGAGAATACAGAAACCACACATTGCTTACAAAGGTAATATTTCCCTAAGTTTCTCAAGAGAAACGAGTAAGCATATATTTGTGCTTGCAAGATTAGAGACTGAAAGAGGACACCCTTAACTGAACATTTTAGTGTACAAAAATACCCACTTTTCATGTTTGAGGGAACATGCCCTCATCTATTAAACCATAAATAAAACTAAATCAAACACTCCTATTGCCTATCAGGCAAATGCTTGAGAAAACGGATGGCATATGCACCATGCCTTGAATATCAAGATTCAGGCTGTCATTCCAATTAGGATAGTGAATGCTAGCGCTGAAAATCTTCCACTGTGCACACCACAATCATTTTAATCAAGGGACTTTCAGATGACATACGTCAATGACTGTCCGGTGGGAAGAGAGGCTGTCTCTAAGGTAGATAGAAGCTTTTTGAGGATTAGGAAGTATTATTGTATTTTTAGGTATGTTGGCAAGTTTGCTTTCCTTTTCAGCAACTCTGATCCTTCATCTGATTTCTACTGTTTTTCTCTTGTGGAAGGAAGTCTTCAGAATTTAAACAACTACTCTATTTTTTATCTGTTATCTGTAAACCAAGACTGAGCTCTAGGAAGTGCAAACTTCCCTTATTCTTCATCAGTGGGGTATTAAGTGTAAAGTCCTGCCTGCACAATCAACATCTCAATTACCTTTTAAAAACATTGTGAAAAAATAAATTTGATACTAGAACTGGAAGCTATCTGATAATTTCTAAGAGTAGACTGGAGTCTGGCCACCATATCAGTAACAGGTATTCATTTGAGACAGGATCTGATTGACACAGGATACTGTAATCTTTCCTTTTATTCAGGCTGATCAAAAATGTAAACTTAATTTAAGTAGATTTTAAAATTAGCCTCACAAAGTAGTTCTGGAGGGACAGTTGATTACTCCTAACTTATTAAAATATTCACTGCAAACTTTCTAATTAGCTATATACATCTAGCTAAGGAACTGATAGTCTATCTGTGTAATAACTAATTTTCCTGAGTCAACTATGATTATGCCTTTTTCGCAGCTATTACATGTATATCCATGATTATCTGGCTACATCCATTATTAAGCTTAACATTTTCAAAATAGCTCATGTACAACTAATTGACTACAAATGTATTAAATACTTTTTTACAATGCTGTGAATTTTTGATTTATTGAAAAACAGAAGAGATTTTTTCCATTGCTATTACAACTTATTCTTTTGAAAAATGACATCATGTGCTTTACTACCATATGACAACATGTGTATTCCCTCATTACTTCTATAATTCTTAAACACATATTCCTCAGATCTTTAGAGCGAATCTGATATCTTTTATTAGACCAACTTAAATAGTTGGAAAACAATTATTAGGCAAGCTTTCGGGTTCAAAAACCCTTTGTCAGGCTAAGGAAGTTTCAGCAGTTTGCGTGTGCTCTTCCTAGATGGAATGAAAAGTAAAGAAGCCAGAGGCTGGTCTGGTATGCATACAAGACAGGTAGTCAGTGAAAATGTAGATTGAGGAGTCAAAGGGTGAGAGAGAGGCTGTGGGCTGTGTGAGAGGGTGGAGAGAGAGAAGGGGGATGAATAGTGGAGAGATACCTGGGGAATCAGATGTTAGGCAGGTTATAATGTGTCATAAATCCAATGTCTATATTTAGTCCATGATTTTTAGTATCCAGGAGGCTGATGAAGTGGAGTTCATAGGCTCGTCTCTGGGAAGTGTTTTATAAGTTTCCTTTGAGGATCAGGACTGAGAGATTGGAGAGAGAGTGGTTTTCTTGTGAGAAATGTGCCCCCACAGGTAATTGGGTATTTCTGTCTTTGATAGATTTCCGGTGTGCATTCATTCTGGTGCGCAGTTGTTGTTTAGTCTCGCCTATGTATTTTCTATCAGGGCATTTGGTGCATTGGATGAGATATATTACATTTCTGGAGGTGCAGCTGTAAGATCTAGGAATGCTGATGGCTCTGTTGTGGGGTGTAGTAATAGTGGGGGTGGTGGAGATGTGTTGGCAGGTTTTGCATTTCTTGTCATGGCATG